AAAATAAGCAGAGAAGAAAGGAAGTTTTTCAGTTAATTCTGCCTGAGTCATCAACAGTAGGGCTTCATCATTGTACTTATTGATTTAGGAACTCTAAGGATATTAGGCACATAAAAATTCCAAATGTACATAAAATTTGGATTTTCCTATTTATTAGTAACCTAAACACAATCTTCATACAGTTTTTGTACCTTTGGCTCTAGGTTAAAACAGACAATACGGTATAGAAGGATCAGTTCATATTTGTAACTCTGAATGAAAACCTATGCTAAGAGCATATTATTTTACATATAAAGGATAATATATTAGTTTTTGAATTGGTCTATATAGGTTTTATTAAAAAGGGCTTATTTGTAATTACATGAAGCTGAGCTTATTTGCAATTTCTTAAATACTAAAATTTAATTAACTTATATTTAGAGGGAAATCTTAAGAGTTTAACATGTATAGATTGATTTTATATATTTGGAAAGCTTGTTTCAACATATATCACATTTTTAATGTGAATAAGCATGGTTTTTTCATAATTTTCTTCATAAAGTACAGTATGTAATATTTCTAAGCTTTCTAAAATCATCTTCCATATTATTTGATGAAGCTTTATAATTTTCCAAAAGCTACTGATTGATCAAACATGTTTTACTATTTTATATAGATTCTCACTGTACTTCCATTACTATGTAAATTTTTTCTTTTCTAGAGTAGTATTTCTCAAACTGTAGCATGCATGCTGACTATTGGATATCTTGTTAAAATCCAAATTCCAATTTAGTATGTTTGGGATGGGCTGTAATTCTACATTTTTAACAAGTCTCCAGTGATTTTTGCTTGCCTATGTACCATACTTGGAGTTAGCAAGTTGTGTTAGTTAGCTTTGCAACTGTATGACAAAATATCTGAGACAGACAGTTTAAATGAAAGAAAGATTTATTTTTGGCTCATGGTTTCAGAGGTTTTAGTCCATGATGATTTGGTACTTTTGTTTTGGGCCTGTGGCAAAGCAAAATTTTATGGTGGGACATACATGGTATAGAGGCCCAGAAACAGAGAGAAAAAGAGAAAGAAGTGGCCAGTCCCAATATTAACCACAAGGACACTCTCAATGACCTAATTTCTTTCTGTTAGGCCTACCTTCTAAAGGAACTACACCTCCCAAAAGCACCACAGGCTGGTAACCAGGCCTTCATACATGGCATTTCGGGGGTACTTAAGATAGAAACAATCTTACTTACATAGGTGTCAGAATAGACTCCTGCTCATGAAAACTGGAGATTGAAGAGGAGTATATATCAGCTTCTGTATTCATGAAACATGACAGTGGTTGGAAACAAAGGACTTGTTGTGTTGAGTAGCCAGTTTGGGAGAGATGTCCCATACCTGCAGGATTATGAATTTTAAAATCAAGGAGGCTGATTCTAAGAACAAAACAAAGCTAGAAAGAAGTAAGTGTATGAGGGGGCTGGCCATAAGGAATAAGGGAATCTGCATCAAGGAAAAAGTTCTATAACAAGAATTTTTAAAAACATACAGACTCCCATTTATCAAGTAAAGACAGAGAATGAGGCTTAGGGAAGGGAAAATTTACCAGAAGAGGACCACATAACCCAAAATTACTCTGCCAAATGAAAGATGTACCTTATGCAAAAAGGAAAGATGCCTTAGTTCCATAGAAAAACTTTTACAAACCAAGCACTGTGATGCACATCTGTAGTCTTAGCTACTTAGAAGTCAGAGGCAGGAGGATCACAAGTTCAAGGCCAACCAGAGCAACT